ATTATCAGATGGTAAAGCCAAAAAGAACGCAGCGCAAGAAACACAAGGAAAATGTACGTCTTATACTCCTCACTATAAATCCCCATTAATACACAACTAATGTCACTTCCCATTAAAATTTACAGTATATATGTCAACAATTAAATTACAGTCGATCCCTTATGCAATTCATTGTCAAGTTGCCAGAACAATCTAAGTGCATCATTTTAAAAAGTTGCCTTATCCCAAACCTGACCTGTCTTTGTCTGCTCAAAAGATGAAAGCTCATCAACTGATGCCACGATATAATACTACAACCTCAACCAGTTCTGGGCAGTATAAATGATGGAAAATGATAGCAACATCGCAAAACTTTTAACATGCACACAGCAATTATGATATCTCTAGCTTAAAGCACAGGTGAAACAAATATTTCCACGAGGTTTTAATACTTCAAAACAGGAAAACCAAAGCTTATAAGGTATTTGAAGGAGCTAATTATGCACAGCTTGAATGAATATGCCAAAAAGAAAGAGAAAAAGAGAGGCATTCTTCCTTAAATCTAGATATTTTAGAAGCACACAATACTATGAGTTTTCACTTCAAGAAGTCAATTTTCAAGACAACAATACAGAAACAGTTAGGTCAAATTATTTACCAGGACGATAAGCATTGACATTGGCACCCAACTCAATCAAAACTTTCGCAACATTCAAAAGATCGGGTCTCATGCAGGCCAAAATCAAAGGGGTTTTCCCTTCTTTATCGATCCACTGCAAAAATCCAAGACATCCAACAATTGGTAATTAGCCATTCACAGAAAAAAAAATCCCAAATATCCAACAATTGTAATTCAATCCATTTCATCTGAAAAAAAATGTACAAATTCCCTAAAATTGCTCACTAACTTCCAAGCCGCACCTTCACTACGAATCAACTTAACCCTCTCATCACGTCTCATAATGACCTGCTGATACAGAAAGCCCCTCCTTCGAATGGGTTGATGACACCCATACTACCGTGCCAATATTATCCCAAAATAAAATCCGACTTTTTCTTGTCTTGCACAAATCTCACAACCTAGAAAATGACAAACCCGCGCCACAATTCCTAATTTTCTCGCCACTGGAGCTTGAGTCTCGTTTTCTAGGTGGTATGAAACGAAGCCCTAGAATATCACGAAATCTCAAGGCTGAATAATAACTATTGGAGGAACGATGTCCAAAATAGAAAGAACTCGAGAGGAAAATACTGGATGCAACGACTTTGAAATTAATTATGACGACTTTTAGTTTGATATCAACCAGGACCCGTTTATGGATGCGGGTCTAATGATCAAAATATTCGAACCCGATTCTAAAAACAAATAGTTCTTGAGCATGTCCCACAAGGGATTTTTAAGACAATTTTTCAAAATATACCCCTTTATGAATATATTTTCAAAAAACGAGCTATTTCAAACATATTTGTCATTTTTGACCCAATTTCAGCCAGACATATTTCAAATATATTTGTCATTTTCGACCCAGTTTGAAACTAAGTCGAAAATGATGAAAAAACTTCGAAAACTTCTCAGGATGTAAAATCCCGTGAAGTTTAACGACTAATTACTGCACCGATTAGTGGGGAGCCATATTTTCACATTGATATGTTGGGAGATTGTGGAGATGCATGTCCCAAATCGCGTATTACGACAATTTCTTCTTTCTCAGCATGTGCCAGATCCTGTTGAGCAAATCGATCATAGGCGACGGATGACATCGCATCGTACGGACTGGGCCATATTCTGTGCGGCTTACACAGACAGATGGAATAATATGTGGGATTTCATACAGAATGAGAGAATTCCAGCAGATAGTTATACCACGTATATACGTAGGTATTGGAATGTCACACGCAGATGGATAGGACGCGACCCACAACCAGCAACTAGATGCATACCACGCCCACCGATAGATAGTTACATCCCTAGTGAAATGATCAAATGGGATTATGTAAGTTTTAAAACTAAATTAAAACGGAAATTCTTTTTTTGTCAAGATATTATTTGTTAAGTTGTGTATATATTGATTAAATCGTAGATCCATGCTTTTGATGAGATTGAGGTTGATATAAATGAGCATATTAATGAGATTCAGGATCTAACAGTGTTAGGGATCTTCAATAGGATCGGACAGAGAATAGCAAATGTGTTCCATAAAAATCATGTCGACGCGTTTGAAGGACGTGAGGATAGGTCACGCCAATTTGGTAAAGTGTACACGCGAAGATGTAGGACAGATCAAAGGGCGGCGCGTGACGACAGAGCTGGCACTTCTCAAAGTGCGGAGCGTGATGATGGAGCCGGTACATCTCAGACTCATACACAACCGGATATTCAGATTATCGAGGCACATCAACATGGACAGCGGGGGCGGGGA